GTAGGTTTGAACTAGACATACACCAAATATTAGAACTATAGAGTCACAAAATGAACCGTAGTGTGTTTCAAAAAAAGACGCGGGGGGGGGGTTATTAGTAAATATTTTTAAAAACAATTGAAATAACTGGTAACCAAGCTTTTCTTAACACAATTGACCAAGACGATTCGGCTGGAAACTCCACAGCCTTCTTCAGTTGGATAAGAAATATAACAATTTTTTAAAATAGTTAAAACTTAGGACACGATTGTACGTTTCCAAACGAAATAATTGAAATTGTTACAAGCCATTGTAAACGGATTTTAACTGAATAAACAACTGAAGGCATTTGTACTTACCAATCATCAGCAACGTGTAAAATTTTTTTTCATCTGAAGGCCAAAGTACGGTATGTGGTGGTGGGCTACAAGCTCGTGTGTCCATTTTTTCCCCAAAATAAACTTCGTCGAGATTTCCATAGGTAACCTAAAATCAAAGCTGTTGAGAAATGACACGTACAAATTTCTAAATATGTACATTATTCGTACATAATTCACTTCTGAGTATTGACAAAATCAAGCGAAACCACGCGTATCAATAAGAACAGAGCTATACTCAACTAAAAATGTGATACATGACTTCGAACTTATCGGATTCTACCGAAAAATTTCCGCCTTGGACCGAAAAAAACATTTAAAAAAAATCGGATCTCAATTTACTCTTGTTGTGAGTGAGATAAAAGTTACAGACACGAAGGCTCACGGAGGATGTACTGCTTATTATCATACTGTGATACTTGTTTAAGTCAGAATTTATTTTTTTTCTTCCTATTTGAGGTAAGCCAAACAAATAATGACTTAGTGAAAACTCATGCATCGAATGTCTCCGAAAATGAATTGATTTTTAATATAGTAGTATTTTATAGTGTTTCATGATGCAAGATATTTCATTGCGGAATTATCAATTTTCGATCTGTTTTTGTGTAACATGTGTTGAGATCCTTTTTTCTATATACTTGCGCAAAACCAACATTTTAGTTTTTTAAGGTTTTCATTTTTGTTTAAACCTCTAATGAGCAGCCACAGTCACCAGTTGAAACATCTCTAGTTTACTATAAAAGTTAGATGCCTCGCACTCAACTCAATTATTGTTTGTCTTTGTTAATTTTGTTCAGTGTTTTATTCCAGTTTTCATTTTTTATCAAATTTAAAATTTGGATCATACCTCTAAGACATGTACAGGTGCATTGTCTATGACATCTGGAATTATTCCGTACTTCGTAAATTCTGTTTTAATATGGGACTGACCATCGCAGGCCCTTGCGCAAGCATCCCTAGCGATGATGATGCAACAAATTCAGCATAAACTTCCAACAATAGAATGATGGTCACCGCCGCCATGATTGTTGAAAAAATAAGGATAGTCGGAAACACTCCAAAGAAATTTCTTGCGTATTCTGAAAATATATGCATGATATGGACTGGTTTCTGTCATCCGATTTTCTCTCATCATATTGTCATTTGCTGAAATTGCCCCTATTTACCATATTCATGCGAACACGTGGGTGCACCCACGAGTATTTTTAAAAGTGTTTTTCAGTAAATTTTAGTAAATTTTAATAATATAAGATGTGACTGTTAGTGTTTACCAAATCGAAGTCGAAGTGACCTGATGATGATGATTAACATCGAAATAGCTATCGTCTAAAAACCGGATGAAAAGAAGTGACCGGGAGAAAGGTAATTTCATCAAACATAATGCAGCCCGATAATAAAAGAAGTTCAACTTTGAATTAAACTTCAAAATATTCACCTCGAGTCACAGTGGGTGTGTTGGTGGGTCGTGAGTTATCAACCAAAGTCGTGTTCAGAGATATTCGACCCTCTGTTTGAAAGTTGTTTTCGTGTTGCATTTATTGTTAGTAAAGAATGAATGATGTCTTTACTTGGCATTTTCATATTTTTTTCGGGAGTTGACCATCTTTTATTTGACTTTGTGGAATGATTTACACCATATTTGGAGGTTTTTGGTTTATAAACGCAGGCAACTGTTTATTCGTAGCTGATCATAGACCCTAATCACTTATTGCACAATCTGAATATACCAGCCATAATATGTACTCTAACAGAACACTGCCACGCCGTGACTGCAATTTTGTGAGAGGGGAGACGATAAGAAGTTCTGACACACGATTCAAGTAAAGACGATGTCTAGAGCCATCAGTATTTCTAATTAATTTGATAAAAAAAAGTCTCGTCTCTATCTCAAAATAATCATACCTCGCCCAGTTTCATTCCATGATTGTCAAATTTACGGTTTTTGTTTAAAACAACGGTTTTTACCGATTCATTGTATGCGCAATGTAAAATTTTCATGCCGGTTTTTCATAGCACGAGGAAGAAAAAAAACCGATCGATTTTTCTCTAAAACTTTACCCCTGTAATATAAAATGTTTTATCCCAAGGATCTGAGCTGCATTCAGCAAATATGTGAAAATCTATACAAGCTATAATATTTAAAATTTTACTTTAGCATAAATAATTAGACACATAGAATATCTAAAAAAACATTCTATATGTATATTACAGAAGATTATTCTAAATTAGAGGACGCTTCCCTATGGTTTTGAATTTTTATTTTTCTACGCGCTCGTCCGTTCAAAATGATTTCATCAAGAGTGGCGGTAGCCACCCCCGGTCGAGGAAAATGACGTCCTACTAAAG